TCTAAGTATCCTAGACACACTGGCCGACCTCCCTTGAAACAGTAGCCAACACTTGTCGTTGATCCTATTAAAGAGCCATTTCTTAAGATCGGCTCTCCACCCCACGGAAAATTATCATCATCATGATCTTGAAGGGTAATGTAGGCCAGGGACTTCTTTTGACGCTTGCTTTGGCAATCAATGAGAGCTTGTTTTCCGATAAAATCACAACTCTACAAAAAGATAATAAAAAACCTAGGTAGGTAAATTGTCTTAATTAGAAAAAACGATCAAAACGTTCATTTCTTTAAAAAAACAATGGAAAAGATTAACTTTGTTACCTTCTATGTGTTGAAGACAACGGCATGGTGGTCCTGTGCATCCTCAGTTGTCTTATTTAACAATTTCACATCTATCTTCCTGGCCTGCTAACTACCATCTGATCTCTCTTTTTCTCTCTCATCCGCAGAGGCTACCGCTGGATATCGCAATAATATAGCAATAACCGAAAAAAAAGCGCGGGGGACGATGGGAAGAGGGAAAAGGCGGGAATCTCGTTTTCTCCCTTCCCCCTTCCCATCGTCCCCCGCGCGCTTCATTCTTTCCTTCTCCCCAGCCTCCCTACGACAAAGGCGGCCTCGGCGGAGGGAAGAGCTAACATCTGATTATTTCTTTGTGCTTCTGTACTCTGTGCACCACCTTTCTACACTGATATCCTTCTGAGTTATTAGCCTGTGTATCAGGCCTTTGTTGGGGTTTAAAAAATCCGGTGCTCACGCTAGTGTGTTGTTTGTTGTAAAACAACAAAAATCTGGCCAATGCAAATTGACAACTAGCGGAACAGCAATTTTTCCACGATCAAGTTGACCTTCAAGATCACCGTGAATAGGATCCAAGTTCCGATCATCCCGAGCAAAGCTCCTCTACATGTTTTTTTTTATTTATTTATTTATTTTCCTAAGAAAAATTACACCTAAAAGAGCGAGGCTTGGTTTGTTTCAAGAGATAAGAGGCGAACAATTAGCTGAAGGCGTTGCCGCGAACGCCAGAGGGGGTGGAGACGGAGAGTAAATAGCTATCAGTTCGTACCTTGTCTAGATGAACTCTGTCTCCCAGCCCTGCCTCCCACGGGCTGATGAAGGAAGTCAGCTCACTTCCCATCTTAGGAACGAATCTGTCAATTCGTAAACAATCAATCGCCAATCGGCCAACATTCATTGCTCCCAGTTCCCTTCCAGTCTTCATCAGATCTTGGTACAAACAAACTGCGAGCTGTACAAATAACAAGACCGAGTATAAATTCTGGGAGTTCTCAACGATTGGTTAACACCACTACCCAGATTTCTGGGGGTTTCGCGCATATTAATGCCGTGCGTGAGCATTCAAAGAGCTCTTCTCGTTTAAAAGTTGCCCTTACAAGGCTAGGCTGAAAACATCTTTTTTTGAAAATAAGTCAGCACTATTGTCAGCAAACTGGCATTATTTCAAAGCTTGATTCTTACCTCAGAAGGAACTAATAATTTCCAGTCGTTACTCTGGTCGCCGAAACAACTGCTTCTGAAGGCCTTCACACCCGACACAAAACCCAAATCGATTTCCTGTCAAAAGGCAATAATTATTGTAATTTAGATTTTAACCCTCCCCTATGACAAGTATAATTGTTTGTTAATAACACGATCCTATTTACCTGTGCTGCGTTTTCTGGGAAGTCATTTACGTCTAACGAAGTCTGTGTCAAAGTTTGAAGCAAGGTCTGTGAATTAGGACCCAGTACTCCTAGAATAGCGAATGCTGATTGGATGTTACGAAGTGTGATCGCAGAGTCTGCTGGGATGTTCCGCGAAATCAGTGACTGCGCAATGGTAGTACGTTCTGCATCGGGCAGCAAAATTATAAATCTGTGACAAGCAAGAAAGGAATAAAAGGTCACTTCATGAGAAGGCTTTGAAAAACTGAAAAACTGATTGGAAATCAGACAGTCAAGTGCGAAAACCTTAGCTTGTGGCGAAGGCTACATATCGAGTGTGGTACTGATAAATCAAAGTTTGAATTTTCGCATTCGTTACTATCGAAATGAGGAAGAAACTGCAGCCGAAATGCGTCCCGCAATCTTTACTCGGTACGCGTCAGTCAGCTATTGGCCAATTTTTTTCTCGTCCCTAGTTACAGTCTCAGGAGTCTTTGCGAAAATTATCTCAGCCCATTTTTTTGTTGTTGTTTTTCGATTCTAAAGTGACCAATTTGTCAACGGTCTGATTAAAACTACATCAAGCCTGCGAGCAGAGAAAAATACGATATTGTTGTAAAATCCAAGATCCTACCTATTGGGTGTGCTTCGTATCACCGTACAGGTGAGCTCAATTCCTCCGCGTCTGTTAAGTACCAATGTGTGTGAAGTATGCTCCACTGGAAGGCAAACGTCGTTTGAGCACAGGTACTGAAGAAATGTCTCACATTCTCCGTCTTTCGGGGACTGCAATTAAATGTAACATTTATAACACTGATAATTGCTGGAAAGTTTTTATTAAATGAAGGTTATTTTAAAGAGAGGAGAAACACATGCCGTACCTCAATTTCGAACAAACCAAACGAGGTCAAGTCAACAACCCCAACCCCCTCAGTGCACGCTTTGTACTCCACCTCTGTGCTGCTTAACCAACTTGGTTTGCCAAAACCATTCTCGCCAGGGTGACCTAAACCAAAACAACAACATACAGTACGAATATTTCATTATCACTTGACAATGCTACGTACAAACACACAAAACAGAAAAACGATCAGGTTAGACGATCCATTATCAGTGATCGTCTCGAAATTTGAGGTGCCGAAGTGACAATGACAAGTTTATAAGCTGCGTGGTAATATTTCGAAACGTATGTGCGCGGAAAAACGCCTTAAATATCCTCGAAAAGGGTGCGCGAGAACGCCCTCAATATTCTCGCGCGTCAGCTTTTCTCCTCCCCCACCCCCACCCTTTCAAAAGTCTACACCACGAGGTGCACAAGCTTATTAGGAAAGGCAGATTCCCTTGTATAACACCATACATCATGTACCTTGTCCTGGAAGATTAAACCACTTAGCCACTTCCCATCCCATTTTATCGCCCCATTCTGCGCCAGCAGCACTCAGATCAGAGTACAGCGGTGAACGTCTGATGTGACGTGCACGTATCCTCTCTGAATAAGGAAACCGTAGCAAGTAATGCCAGCTAAGTGTTTCTTTCACGCATTCTTGTAAGAAGCGTTTGTTGTTATGAGAAGGAGCAAATCGACGTATGTCCACGGAAGAGAGGTCCATCGTGGACTCCCCTGCAGTGATCCACTCTGCGAGGGCCATACCAGCTCCTCCTGCGTTGGCGATGCCTCCAGAATTGAAGCCAGCGGCTACGTAGAAATTACGCACCTGAGATAAAAATTCTGATGGTTTACCCATGGATCCTATAGCAATATCTTAATTTATCAAAGCGTTCGATGCAGTTTCGCTAGTATGTTAAAGGTATTTTACACATAATTTTTGACAAAAGAAAGCGAATCTTTCTACGCGTTTAAAGCAAGACGTCTGTTTTCTTTTGAAAACAATGATTTTACACCGTCTTAACCCTAAACCACTAAGAGTTTTACATGTAAGAGAAAACCACAAAGCGATCAAATTGCGAAAAACTACAAAATGGTAGCAATTGCGAGATTGCCTTCGGGACTGAGGGAGACATAACTTTACAATACCTCCGGAACTTCCCCAAGTAAGTATCGTGAATCGGGTGTGAAGCTCTCTGGGCCATTGATCATATAACGAATTTCAGCGTTCTCCATCGAAGGCAAGCGATGAAGCATCTTCCTCATTAAATCGTCTAAAAAGACGCAAAATGTGTCATATTTCCTTCAAATGATTATTTTGCGAAGGAAAAAAAGTTAACAGGTTCCGCAACGAAAGTAAACACGCTGAGCGATTCATGCTTTGACAAACACGCACCCAGCGGTAAAGAAAAACAGATAAAAGAATGGTAATTTAACACTCTGAACAATCACAACAGCCGCAGAAGAAACAAATGAACCAATCAGATCCTTGAAGCAAAAACTCATCTAATCGGCTACCAAGCGCGGGAACAACGCAAGCGAGCAAGTTAAGATTAGTGTTTGGTTTTACTCTTGATTGGTCGACAAAGAGGCGCAAATACTTCAGCCAATCACAAACCGTTTTGGTAGTCATTTAAAAACCGCCCGGAAAAAAAAAACTTTGCGCCTTGGCAAAAGTCACCATTCTGATTGAACCTTTCCGTATAAAGGTTCATAGTTTAGGCGGGAAAATGTTCAAAATTGTTACTTATCGTTTAAGCTACCGGAGTTACAGGTAGAACTGGTAGGTGAAACCCCGCGAACCGCGATGTCATGCGAAAGTAGCTAGAGCAACTAATTAAACCTTCTTTGTTAGTCAGTTACGGCGTACAAAGCACACAAACAAATTCATGTTACATTATATCATCATGCATATCTCAAGAAACCCACCAAAATGGTCCCAGTTTTCTGGAAGCAGCTGATATTCAAATCCTTTAGGAATTCCTTCATGAAAGGCAGGAATTGCCTCCATCTCAAAACCTCCGCTCATGAGACCACCGCTCCACTCACGAAAAAAAATCTGTCCATCATGGTCCCGGATGACGGGCAATGTAGAGGAAACGCCTTCTATTGGCTTCGTTACTATGTAAAAATGTTCTGTAGAATGCAGTGGAAAGGTCACTTTGGGAGTGCATTTCTGTCGGCAATGAAAAAACGAAGATACTTTCAACATTTTGATTCCCTATTATCGCAAGGTTGTAACACTCACATTGTTTATTTTTGCTGTCTCTACAGTCCTTATCTATATACATGATAAACAAGGATTTTTACGCTCCCGGCATATATATTGGTTTACACCCTATACTATTTTTCTGTGTGTCGATAATTTGTTAAGTGGCTCCCAGTAACTAAGGTCGATTGCAAATACTCGGGTTTCTTCCTCAAAATTGGTTTTGAAGGCGCGAAACGCCGGCGTAAGATTTTCACACCACACTCCGTCTTCACCCCCGCTTCAGGACTTTCGTTTAAACGCTCACGCCGCGTTCTTGATTTATGCAAAAACACGGTCTGTTGTGCAGTCTACGCGGCAGTACAGGGGATTGTCCATGGCACAAGACATCAATCTCCTGATATGGTAATTAGATACGCGTGCTATTAACGGAAGCTAAGGCCTTTTGAGCCACTAAAATAATTTCTTGATGTCTTTGTCAAAAGGAAAATCAATCCTCAACGATGTTTAAGAATGAAGATTTAAAAATTAAAAATCTAAAATTATTTCCTCACCTGGCCGATCTCCCATGCCCACTATTTAAATGAAAAAAACAAAACAAAACAGGATTCTATTAAAATGCATTACAGACAATACATACATTGGTAAAACAACCAAAAGTATGAGCAATCAAGCCACATAAAGTCAAGTTCGTTTAAAAAAAGCAGTGCCGTCGACTTTCTTAGAAACTTGACAAACCTTTTTCAAACGTCAAAAACCAGTTACAACTGCCAACCAATCAAATGTCGGTTTGTACGTAGTTGCTTGTTTTTTCGCGAAACTATTGTTATTGTTGTGTCACTGAAGGGAGGGAGGGGGGTGGAGAGGGGAGCTTCATCAAACCGTAAGCACAGTTTATTCCATCATAATGTCCTTCGAGAACGGACCTCTGGAGCCCGGGTAGGGGAGTGGACGACAGATAAAACTTTGGTAAAGGTAAATTTTGTCATTTGTTTTGGTACAGACAAACACATTTTGTAAATTTTTCGTGCGGAAGGGCCCTAAGATAAAATTAGTTTAATAAGAAAATACCGTTCATTACCTGGCCACCACAATTGACCAATATCTCACACCTAATAGGTCCACGGTTTGTCTCCACTCCAGTAATAGATTTGCCATCCGTCAAAATTGATTCTAATGAAACTTTTTCAAAAATTTTCACACCTGAAAACAAATCACCAAGTTCAAAATTTTTTTCCGATGGGACTGAGAATCGATTACTGGAGGTCCTAGACTTGCTACTAGTCGACCTCTTTTAGAAAGTCTATGGAGGTCCCTCGTATTGTGGGGTCTGGTTACAGATATGAATTCTAACTCCCGCAGGAACTTGACGAAAGGGTGACACAAATTGTTTAGAAAAATTACAACAGATAGTCATAAGATGTGAGCTAATTCATGACGTAATTATCATACCATTTAAAGACGCTCCTTTAGCAAGTGCTTGGCAGACATCAGTGGAAGTTGCTACACCCTCACTGGGGATCCAAAGACCACCCTAACAATAACAAAAACACTTGATTTACATCATCATACAATCAAACCTTCCGTGAGAGACCACCCGAAATGCGAGGAGTTTATGGTGGTTACTGTATTGTACTGCGCCCACCTCGAACAAGCGCCCATCCTAAAGGCAGAAAAAGTTAATAAGCGCCCACCCCACCCCACTTTCTCCAATAAAAACTCCAATAAGAGATAATAAGAGACCCTCCCGAAGACGGAGTTTTCTTCAGTGTATTGTACAGAAACCTTGCTTTGTTATTTCTTCACTTTTTGTTATTAGCATTTACTGTTTTGTTGCAAAATATACTACTACACTTGCTGAGAATGGTGAAAATTTAATAAGCGCACAGCCGCGAATAAGCGCCCACCTCGAATAAGCATAGCAACACTAATAGTTCTTCGTGTCTCCATACAGAGACCATAAGGTTCAGACAATGTGTCAAGAGGCCATGTTTCTTTTTTGTAATCCAGGGGAGTGCATGGGACACAGGATACCCAACTATTACTAAATGGCACTCACCGCTAGGTCGTCAGTTCTAATGTCAAGTGAAAAAAACTTCTGTATTTCATCTGTTGATAACACCTCAGTGTCAATATTCTGGGCTCTGTAAAATACAATGCAAACCATGTGCTAGGTCTTTCACATGAAATGCGATCTCTCAATTAGAATAGGGGTTTGATTACCTTAAACAGTAATATACAAACCAACACAGAGCGAAACCTACATATTCTTTTAATACACACTGAAAAAAATGAACTTTCTGTAAGCAGACAATCAAAATAATTCTAACCTACCTGGTTTGTAGAGGTAGATTGCTTTCATGTATTCACAAGAGTCCTGAGACCATTTCATCAGGGGCACCCAACGAGAATATAGTTCAAAAACACTTAAACATAGCATTATTGAACGTATTTTAGTATTTAAACGGTAGATATGGGCATATTTTTATGCCCTAAAAATTTTTCATCTGTTCAGATTTCCTAGCTGAAAGTCTAGTGATCCAAAAATTATAGGGATCAAAACTTACCTTTTCGAAAATTTCAGCCAGAAAAAAGGCTCCCGAATGTTCTAGGTGACCTTTTTAGGGTAAAAATCCCCCCCAAAAATGGGCAATTATACCATTTTTAGATGTTCGAAAATCCTAGGAGAGGCAGGCAAGTAAGAAATTTTACAACAAATGTTCCGAAAATTCTAGATCTCAAATCATCTTCTGAACAGATATTTTCCAAAAATTGCCGTTGGGTGCCCCTATTTATTACTTTGAAGGTTTGGTGGTAACTGAAGCCATCATCAACATACCTGCCTATGGCTGCTCTTCTCTTTAAAAAGGTTAGGCGATCCTTGGTCTGTGCAACAACTAGTCCACCACAACGTTTGAAACCTGGCAATTGGACAGGATAAAATTTTTTGTGTTGCACTGTGTTGTGTATGTGAACCTGAATGAACTGTTCATTATAACAGATGTCATATTTATTATCCTATACTCCCATTAATATCATGGGTCACAAATTGCTCTTCAATTTTGGTGTGAAATTTCAACTATGGCAACATTCTGTATGTCTCAGTGCCAAGATGGCATCAAGGTAATAAAACTGAATGAATATTTAGACGACAGGGCCTTTAAAGATGCTTATATATTAGAAAACCTAAACACACAAAAGAGCACATCAAGAAGTTCCAAAGTGCTGTACAATTCTACAAATTATAGACCATGGAAAATTGTTGCCTATTTGTTAGATACAAACTCAGTCTGACAGCCCACAGTCATGTGACTGTATTGTGGCTAAGCTCCTTACCAGTTCCTACACCAGTCTCCTCTTCTAACGTGCTGTACAATTCCACTGAGTAACTTGAAAGTTTGGTTTCAGCAGCAGATGAACGTAGTTTACCCAAAAGGCCAGCAGCATGCCATGTAGTTCCGCAGGTTAAACTGGAAAAAAGAAGGTTACATCCCCCAAGAAATTAAAAATTAAAGCTGTCAAAAAATCTCAGATCTCTTGAAAACCTTGCTTTATACCTGATTCTGGCAGACCTAACCCTACTGTAACCGGGTTGACAAACCCTAAAATGATTCAACATAGTTATTTATTAATTCTTCATGATACTTTTGATATTATTTTCAAAATTTTACGTAGAGAGGAAAATTGGGACAGTGACTTAATAATGAACTCTGGTCACATTACATGGAAAACAAAAGCTTGCTGTCCAAATTTTGACATATGCATTGCTCATTTGGCTAGAGTTCGTAATGTGCACTGGAATAACCTTTAGATTACTTAAGCGTACTTATTTATCTAAAAAGAATAAGCCTGAAGCTAAAGATAAATATCTAAAGCTTTACCTTCCTTGTTCCAGTAGCAACACATCTTTCCATCCAAGTTTAGCAAGGTGATATGCTACTGAACAACCAACAATTCCACCTCCACAAACAACTACTTGTGCTTGCTTTGGTAGAGATGAGTCCAAACTGAGCCCTTCCTGGGAGCTGGAATTCTTGTTGGCATGAAGAATGGAGGATGACAAAAGTCTTCCTGGCCTGATTTAAAATTTTCAATGTTCAAAAACTCATTAGTCCAAAAAAATACAAATATGTCGAATGTCATGTTTATTATAGTAGATAACTTAATTTTTATCTGATATAGACACGGTTAAATTTTCACTCAAATTTTGGAGGCTAAAGAAACCTATATCCTGAATATTAGTGCAAGAATAATTATCTGCATTAAGTTTTTTAAACCATTCCGTAAAATCACAGTTTGGGCTTCACCAAGACTATTAAACACTTCATACTTAAAACTTGATAACATTATAAAGTACTTATGACCTTCCTAATATTAAACTGCTATGATTAATATAATAATAATCATGATTATCACAATGATAATGGTGCACTCCCTCTTAAGAAAAATCCTGGATCTGCCCCTGATTCAGTGGTAAGCTGCAAGCTATAGGTCCCAGCTATCCCATCTCCTTCGAAAGAGATGGAATAGAAATTGTACATGTTTCTTTAATCTTGGAGAGGCCAGTTCATCATTTTTTTTTCACAAAGATATGACCATACGTTCTGTTCAAACTTCACAATTTACTGAATGACCTTAAAATAAACCACTGAAGTACAGGTTTTTGGAAATGTTAACAGGTTCAAATTAAATTCAGGTCAAAATTTTTGATCCTAGGTTAATTCAAAATTTTCTTTGACTCCTAGCCCTAATTATTCATGAAAGAGGGATAGGAGACAAAGAAAATTGAGAATCAACGTAGTAAGCCTAACATATACACTACATGAGAGGCTTTGCTTCTATTTTTTAAAAATGTAAAAATGTCTGCCAACTCTTCTCACCTGGTATTGATCAATGATTTAGGTACAATCTCTCTAAACAAGTAGCTGTGCGACCGTAGAGATCCAAGCCACATCTCGACAGTAATGCAAATATCAATTTGAACTATCTGTTTTAAGTCTTTACTGCTGCAGTGAATTTCATCTCTAAATGGTGGCACATATCATCAGGTTAACTCTGCAGTAATATGATCACTCCAGTCACTTTGCATCCAAAGCACTACACATGCACACTAGTGGACTGAGTACATTTGTTGCATCCTGATTTAAAACAATGATTAGCACCCCTCATTCACAACAAGAGTTAAGAGTCAAGAGCGCAGATAATTATAACAGCCAAGTTCCTTCTAACCATCCAAGACACAATCTACTGATATACATGGCACTTAAAGATGGAATACAGTGGGAGTTGCAATATGTATGTGTAATAAATAAAGGGCTGTATGTAAAAATCAGAGAGAATTAGAAAGTTTGGGTGTGACTGTGAAGCAATTAACTCTTTATCCTATTTCTAACCAAATATGCATTTTTCCTGAACATTGTACTAATAATGCATCAGTCAATACCAGCTCTGCCATCCCCCAGGCTACTGTGGGGCATTTAGGGACCTAGTCAATCCCAGGGGGGAGGGGGGGCATTTGCCAATTTTGTGCAGTATTGCCAGCCCCAGGGCCACCCTTGAGCTTTTGCCATGCACATGGTTTCCTATCGAAACATAACCAAACATGGAGGATTTACTGGAAACACAAGCCGATTGAGAGATTGGCCCACCTGTCAAAGATGAGAAAAACTTGTAGAGGTTTTTAAAGGCATGTTCTCTCAATTTTATGCATACACTTCCTCATTGCTTACCAAGACAGAGCTTACATAACGAAATATGAAACTATCAACCTGAATCAACATATCTTTTTTTTTGGGGGGGGGGGGTGGTGATGATCCTAACACTACTATGATCTACTCCCAGGGGGGGTACTCTGGATTTCAAGTGACGGGGATGATCGAATGGAGCCAAAAGTCAAGACCCAAAAAAGTCCCTAGGGCTACCAGCAAAACCCAAAAAATCCCTGGACCAAAAATTAACCCCCAAAAAATCCCATGCCGATTTTGTGGCCCTTAACAGTTCCAGAAAGGGGTAATGCTAAAACACAAAGAAAAACATTGGAAATGGAACACTCATGTTTGTTTATTCATCATACCATCTGAATATATCCTTTCCCTCACCTAATTCTTTTTAATACCCCCAAAGAATCCCTACTCAAATCAAGCTACCCAAGCCAAATTTTCGTACCCAAAAAAATCCTGGAATCGAAAATTTCAAACCCAAAAAAATCCTTCGATCATCCCCGTCACTTGAAATCCCGAGTACCCCCCCTGGGTTGAAGAACTTTGTTTCGTATTTTTTTAACTATTCATAACAGATAAAGTGCAAACATTAACCACAAAGGACTGCAAAGGACCGCAAACGAATATGCTGAAGAACGTAGGATCTATAAAGACCTGATCAGCAAAAATGAAACGTAGACATATTAAATTCTGCAAGCAGAATACTGCAAATGCTGATAGTACTACGTGAAAATTAACTCTGCAAGACATCAACACAACACTGAAAGAACTCAAAACAGAGCGAGATTGTAGCCATAGACAGCTGTTTCGCCCTCTTTGACACTTGGACTCTTGCCCCCCAGAAGACACGTGGTATGGTGTGATTCTGTGGGTGTTGAGAGTTCTAGGTCAGGGCTTAAATCAGAGTGTGTGGATATTTTTCACCAGAGTTTTCTGTGTTGTTACGCCATACTTACGAGCCCCAAAGAGGGCAAAACAGTTGTCTATGGCTACAATCACGGTCTGTTTTGAGTTCGTTGTCGTGTTGATGTCTTGCAGAGTTAATTTTCACGTAGTACGATCAGCATTGCAGTATTCTGATAACAGATAACTTTACGGGTATGCCCAGGGGCTAGCTCTGAGAGTTGGTGGTGGGGGGGGGGGTGGGGGGGAGTGCACATGGGCACGGCTGAAATTGACTGATGCATAAATACAAACTGATACATGATGCCAGCTAAACATTAATATTATTGCTTTGGTTGGTGTCAAGATTTCAGAAGGGCTTCAAAGATAGCCAATATACGGTGCATACCAATAAGGGAGTTCCTCCGGGAGCCGAACGAACCCCAAAGGACGTCTGCGGGGAGGCTACCGGGAGCGCCGAATAAGGAGAAAACAGTACCAGGACATCCGATCCCCCACCCTTAGTGTATGACCCCTTTTACGGTTAAATCATGCATCGCTTCCCCACATAACGAAATCACTTTGCAAACAAAAACTGCAAATAAATTTGTGTTCGCCTGTTCTACCTTACTACCTTACCGCGGTCCCGTCAACTCGCTTTTTTAGACGCTTTGTAGCCCGGGAGGAAAAAAACATCCGGCGCGAAGATTCTTACCGACGGGAATTATGTCTTGTGACTGGTCTTGTGATCGATCATTGGACAGAAGACAGAAGAAAAACATACATGTCAAGGACTTACTTTTACGATCTGGGGACGAAACGAAATGGGGGTCAGCTGAGTACCTGAGTCACCCTGTCGTCACTTAGTTATGTCGTCACGCAATAGTCTGTTTGTGTATGCCGTATGAACTGTCTCTATACTGTCTCTCTACTGCTACATATAAAGTTCAGTATAAACATCTGTAAACCTGAAGAAGGCTGGTGTGGCTAGCAATACACGTTGTTATGAATCAGCTTTGCAGTAGTCTTTAGACTTCTCGTTTTTGGTTGTCTCTACAGGGGGAGGGGGCGGCTGTACACGGGGAACTTTAATCCAATTTCTTCGTCATTCGTTCAGAAATGTTCTCAGAGGTATTCTCTCTGTTTATTGAGGGAGGGAATAAAGTTAAGAGAGCTCACAAAACGAAATTTCGATTTGCGACGAGGCATTCTCCGGGTCAAGCGATCACTAAACTTGTCCTCAGACAGGAGCCTATCACCCATAGTCTCCTGCCTCAGCGGACTCCCTTGGCCCTGGGAAGCAGGAAAAAGGTCCGAAAACTGGAGCTGACCGCTTGCAGAAATGGTCTCTGTTATCGGGGAGTTCAAACAGGGTTTTGTCACGTTTTTCAGGCGAGCGAAGGCAAGAACGAAGCCAGCGAGGAGCGCCAGACACGCGCGACGGGGGAAGGTCTTCCCTTCCCCGTCACGCGTGTCTGGCGCGTGCCACTCGCGTGTAGCCTCACACGCAGACGTTCTTATAGGTCCTTCACTCGTTCCTGTGGGGCAGGAAAGCGTGACGAACCCCCAAGAACGTCTCCATGGGAGGCTAACTCGCGTATGACTTTTGACGATCGCTGCTCTACCAACGAGAGAGCTCGTTAAGAGGGTTTCAACTGTGTTACCTGGCGTAACTTGCGTTTTAATTTTCGACATTGTTCAGCGCAACATGCTTCTACTTGTTTGACAATGCATGTTGCAGTCATTCACCCTTGATCAGCGTGAAATATTTTTTGTTCAGTCATGCAAGAAGTATTAAAAGTGTCGTTATAAAAGTTATGAATAGCTCAGCTTTTTATTCTATAAAAAAAATATTTAAACGAAGTAAAAAATTCGAAAAAGAAATCAAATTTTTATTTTTTGAAATCCTGATGAAGAAATGGAACTATCCCATTGTGATGCTGAAGAAGTTTCACATAGTTCACAAATGCTGAATCATCGCTACAGACACAAATACGTTAATTAGAGAGACAGTACCCTCCAAAGGAGTGAAGTTCTGTTCCCCAACGTGGTTCAGAACTGCTCAAATACGCCGTCTCCGCTAATCATGGAAACATTCACAGCAACAAAACTGTAGTCAAAGTATTACTTTACAGAGAAAATTTGCTTGCCTGCAGTGAGCTTACTAACTATTGGTTCATTTGAAGCGGAAAGGCGAGCAGGCATTTAACGACCATAAATACACTTACATAGGCCCTCTGGCGATAAATAACAGTTCAAAACACAACCCAAGAGCAAAGATACTCTGAAATTAGAGAATAAAACTTCTTGTTTCTCTGACTTAAACAACAGTTCATGGCTCTTTGTTATAATTTCAATTTCATAGTTTATAGACGTCGATGTTTCATCAACTTCTCGCATCCGTGACAAACTGGTTGGCGCAGAATGATAGGATTTCTGTGCCATTTTCCTGGTGGAATAACTCTGTTGATTTCTTCAACTGCCGACTGCACTGGAAAATAGCTTTGATTTACAGTTCCAAGAGTTATATGAAAGTCTTGCAAACGTGTGTGTGGAATATGTTTCTTTACACCAGTTTTGATTTTTAGATCTCGCTCGTTCTTCAGTGCCCATCGAGTCAAAACCTTTTGCGAACTTTTGTCAGCCATAAGCACCAAAGAAACTGCATCATTGTAACCGTGAATAGCACATTCTATTTTATCAAACCATACATCGTGAGGTTTCCACGAATAACTATCAAGAAACTTTCCAATTTTAATCGCCTCTTCTTCCGTGTAGCAGCAGTAGTAGTCAAAAGCAAGATGAAGAGTTCCTCTACCTTCCGTGTTTAAACTTTGTGGCTTACCGTACTCTTTCAAAATCGAGGCAGCAAGTCGCATATTCTCGACAAGCTCTTTCGGCCACGTTTGGTGGTTGTCACTATAAAATGCCGCACCATATCTCTTAGTTTTCCTCCCTCTTTTCTCGACACATCGTGGACTGCAGCCAGGACCTCCAGCCGTAGGAAAAGCAGGACTGTAAACCAGGCATTTTTCATTTTTTCCAAATATATAGGTGTTAAATGGCCATTTCAAGAGAAAAAACAGCACAGAACAGGCGATCAAAACAAACAAAATAGCGCAATTTTTTGGATTTCTTCTTCCCGAAAACATGGCTTCCCTTTCCTTGTTGTCACTTCGATCTATTCAAAATTATAGTCACGCGAGAATCAAAAAGTCACGCAAGGGTAATAATCACTATTTCGACACTATTTTTCCCATGTAACTTCACCAAACCTCGGAGTAGAGATCATTTCCATATAGTTGTTATACGAGCACGTGCTTTTTATATGCAACAATAATTTATTTTACATTACTTGGAAGAAGTCTTTCTTGCTTTCTTGTCGTAATCGTTCGGTCAATATGACGCGAGAAGAAAGCATACAGTTCATTACAATTACTAAAGACTTTATTCCGCGGGACCCGTTATTCTAACGGAGGTTATAAATACAAGCCCATTAGCTAAATAACAGTTACAATACATAACCGTGAGAATAAATTGTCTTCTTTTGACTTTTACCACAGTTTATGGCCTCTTGTTTTCATTAATCTTACACAGGTTTCATCAGCCTCTCGCATCTATGGCAAACCGGTTGGCG